CATATAATGCTATGGCTTTCACTTCATTTTTGTTTCAATGGCCAGCAATGCCACATACCTAACTAAGTGCAAAACTAGAAAACTCTCTCTTCTCTGAAATGGAAAAGAAAATGATTTCCCTGCAGATATCTAAAACGACTAATGAGCTAGACAAAGCAGTGAAAATAATTGTGTGTTGTTCACCCACGGTGTCACATATGATCTAACTGGACCGTGCTGCTGGGGGCAAAGACTACAGCTGAGTTATTAGAAGTCCTCGGCCCATATTGCAAAACTCCAGCTTGACCTGAAGGTCCTGGTTTTGTGTGTTGCACCACTGCCATGCATGCCTTCAAACCTCCTGAAAGACTGCATATCTGTGGCCTTTAGGCTTTCTCCAATGTTTAATCAAGTGAAAATGTCTGAAACAGAACAATCTGGTATCAGAGTTCACTGTTCCATTCATGGATGGAAGCATTTGTCATGAGACAGAAAGCAGGAAGCAACAAATTGAGATGCTTGCTTTGACCTGGACCGGGGCGAGAGAAGTGAAACTCGATTAACATGCACTCTAATACAACGCAGAAGCCACAACCGTGCACGTGCAGGCTTCTGTTTACAATCATATAGTCATTTCAGTGATGAAGTCCAGGAGTCCAGGTATGGTGACAAACGGCAGGAATAGTAGACTTGCAGTGGAAAAGAATATTACTGTAATGGAACTCACACACATAATTACATACATGTACAGACACATATAAGTACATAAATGGATACTCATAGAGAAACATCCAAGCTGACATTTTCTCTTGTGTAATGAAAGTGTAATGAAACCCTGACACACACACACACTCACACAGAGGCGCCCTGGGCTGAGGGCTTGGCAGAGCAGAGTAGATAGATTAGTGTAATAGTCTCGGCCAAGGCAATCATCTGCCCACTGTAGGGCTTCAAAGACTGGCAGCAAGATCCAGCTCAGACACAAAGAAATTAACCACAATGAATGAGTCACTTTGGATGAGTTCACACTGCTAACAGCTCAAGAAGGAATGTAAAGGAAAAACAGAAAAAAGAAGAAAAAAAAACACATAAAAATGAAAAAAATGTACTTTTGTGTGCTGAGTAAAGCTCAAACAGATTTTCAACATCTTGATTGTTGATTGTATACATAAATTATAAATGGTGATAGCTTTGCTTGGACACTGAAAATGAAAAAGTTTTTCCTTATTTCATTGGCCAGAAAGTGCTGATATTTTAATGAAGAAACATTCTGATTTAGTACCTGTAAAAAGGAGGGTTCGTGCAGCTAATGGTTTCTTGGAAAGATTCATGTATGGCAAAGAAGCAAACAAGCCCTCGAGCCCAGTGCATTATTCCTCCCTATTCTTTTCCCGGTTTGTTTTTGACAGTAGAAAATGCTTTTTTACTATTTAAAATCATATTTTTTCTGCCTCCATTGTAAAAGCGGAAAATGTACATTTCCATCTTTGGAGCAACAAAACACCAGACTGTTTAGGAAGAACAGCATTTCCCCTGCAATATTTTATTTTCTTATTTTAAGTTACTTTTCTAACAGACAAAGGTGGACAAAAACTGTTGATGATTATGATAAATATGCTTAAACTATATTTAAACAGCCTAGATTTTGTGATCCAAGAACTGGACTGAAAATGACTGGAGCAAAAACAATGTCCAAAGCAAAACTTTGAAAGACATCAGAAGGCCTGAAGAAATATTCCTCAAAACCATTATAATAAATAAATAATATGAACCCTGACAAAGCACACCTGTGAAATGGAAACCATTTCAGTTGACTACATCTTGAAGCGCACTGAGAGAAGGCCAAGGATTTGCAGTGCTGTCAAAAAGCAAAGGGTGGCTACTTTGAGGAGTCTAAAATATAAAATATAAGACAAGTTATTTATCAATTTTGTCTTTGCTACATAATTACATAATAATAATAATAATAATAATAATAATAATAATAATAGATTTTATTTGAGGGCGCCTTTCAAAAACCCAAGGTCACCTTACAAAAGAACAAAATTAATAAAAGAAGCAATAGTCATAAAATACATAAAAATAAGTGATTAAATAAATAATTGCAAAGCAGAACTTGACAACAGATAAAATCAGCACTAAAGCGAATACGTTTGAACAGATGTGTTTTGAGCTGTGACTTAAATGCGGGAAGAGAGTCATATTTCTTATGGCTGGAGGAAGAGAGTGGCTGGAAGAGCAGAACCACTGAAGGCTCTGTTCCCCATAGTGGTAAGACGTGCGGACGGAACAGTAAGATGAATAGCAGATGAGGATCGGGAAACAGTGGTGATATGGAGCAGGTCACACAAATAGGAAGGAGCAGGACACACTTGTACGTGAGAAGTAAGAGTTTAAAATTTATCCTGGCTTCTATGGGCAACCAGTGAAGCTGCTGAAGAACTGGCGTAATATGAGCCCTTGACAGAGTACAAGTTGTGACCCGAGCTGCAGAATTTTGAAGAAGTTGGCGTTTATGAAGGGACCTTTTAGGGAGACCAAATAAGAGGTAATTGCAGTAATCAATGCGGGACGTAATATGACTATGGACACGGATGGCAGCAGCATGGGGAGTAAGGAAGGGATGGAGTCGGTTAATATTACCTAAGTGAAAGTATGTAATTAATGTGGGACTGGAATGAGAGAGTATTATCAAGTATGACACCCAAACTCTTAACCTGAGGGGAGGGGAGGGTGGGAGAACTTTCAGTGTTAATGGAAAAACTGTGGGATTTGGATAAGATAGAGGCTGTACCAACAAGTAAAACTTCTGTTTTATTACTGTTTAGTTTAAGAAAATTGGAGGAGAACCATGATTGTAGGTAGGTGAGAGGGATAAATTGGGTTTAGAAGAAATGTAGAGCTGGGTGTCATCATGTATCTTGCTTCATATATTTGATTTCTTCATTATGTATCTACAATTTAGGAAGTAGTAAAAATAAAGAAAAACCATTAAATGAGAGGGTTTGTCCAAATTTTTGACTTTTTAAAAGAAGAAATGCTGGTATGAGCTGTCAAAAGATAATCTATAAATGCCTATAGTTTAAGTTAAAATGCAGAGACCTACCAGGAGTTATGAAAACAAACGCTTTTTATAGAAAGATATTACTGCTTTAAACACAGCCACACATACATTCTTGCACACAAACGAAGCCCAAAGCAAGCACAGCAGTTAATAGAGAAATTAATCCCTGTCTGTGGATGCATGTGTATCCAAATGCAGCTGCTTGTGTTTGAGCTTGTAGGTACCAGTGACTTTCATTCCTGTCATTAACCTGCTATCTTCAGCATCCTTGTATGTGTCCCACCATAGAACTAATGGCATTTTCAGGATGTGTGTTTACGTGTAGTCAAGGTTCACCACTATTGTGATAAAACCATTAAGAGAAGCAAAGGGTAGAATTCTCATGGTCATCCGCTGTTCAGATGATCCTATTAGTATTCATAGGGTCGTATGAATACCCTTCCTCACATGCACTCACATTCACTTGAAGCCTTGTGCTGTTATTCCATAGAGGGTATAGTCATGACCTGCCATTAAATTCATCCCCGAGCTCTTAATACTAACCATTAAACCTTAACATGTCTTCTAACCTTCGCTTAACTCGAACTCAAAACCAGATGCTTTAACCTGGCCAAAGTAGCCCTCTGCTGCTCTCAGTGCACGCTCGACCACGGGCTTCTGAACTAGCTGCCCTCTTTGGATTTAATGAGGAATTTCATTAGCATTTTAATGACAAATTCCAGGACCGCTGACAAGACTTTATTTTAGAGAAACTGAAGGGCAAATATGCAAAACCTCCACTCAATGTGACAAGTGTCCAGTAAAGAGCAACAAATTGGACTCAAAATGTCCGAGTGTCCAGGAGAATATCCAAAATGATTCATTCTTTATTCATCCTTATTGTCAGAACTGATGAGGAAAGACTGAACGGTTTAAGTATACTTGTGCATGGTCGCAGGTCCATGCTGTCAAAGGTTGTCGGCTCAAACCTTCTGTGCCATAATAAGTCATTTAATTATCCTTTATTTGAGGTTTCAGCATCCAAAGGAGCGGAGTGTGTTTACTCTGTGTCATTTCATTCACTTCACTTTTCGTCACTCTGGATTTCTTTTTTTCTGCATTCCTGTCTTCTTTTAAAAATGCACTGTACTGTTTTATTACTCTGGAGGATGGTGTCACATGTTTGTAGAAACAAAGCAGTGGGTATATTCATTATTTAGATTGTGCATATTTTTTGCACAGTGTTTTCACTATGATGACATGAGGAGCCTATCATCTTACAGTCGTACACAAGAGAACTGACAGAAGTTCACCTGATGTTAGAAATTTGTTTAAGGTTATGAATGATGGTTCATTCGAAAAAAAAAAAAGAGTAATGTCCTCCCACAGCAATTATTTCATGTACTTTTCATATTTTTATGAAAATCTCCCTGTTTAGTTCGACTTTATTTTTAACATTTCATGGACAGAATAGAACAACTGAATATAGCGAGGCCACTCAGCCTTGTTGCATTTTGTTGTGATACTGCACCTAAACTATCTCTTAAAGTGCTAATTATTTTAATTTCCTTCAACTTACAAATGTTGAATCTCCAAAACAGCCACAGAAAGGGAATAGACTAGGCTAATTAACGCTGTATGTAACTGCTCATGATTCTTGCTATTCTGCCTCTTAGGCACTATTGCTACTGCTTTAGTTCTTTATTTGTCGGGAACCATGCATAGAAGCATTTAACTAGTATTGACTTTCTATCTGCACTCCTTAGGCAGGCAAACACAGCATTAGTTATGAAATCCAAATAATAGATGTTGAGTCAAATATAATTACTAGTTTATTTGTTTCTCTATGAAGGCTACTGTTTTCCACTAAGGTAGACTATATTAGCCATCTCAAAAAGGCTTCAAGAAGCTTGAAGCCAAGAAACTGCTGACACACATGTTGAACTGTCATTTTGCCTTCCCTTTCTTCCTGCCACAGAATGATCCCTCCATCAAGCAAGAACTTCCTAGTCAACAACCTGGCAGCAGGCACCCAGTACGACCTCTGTGTCCTGGCCATCTACGATGACGTTATCACCTCTCTGACAGCAACGCGAGTGGTCGGCTGCGTGCAGTTCACCACCGAGTCAGAGTACATGAGATGTCATTTTATGCAGTCTCAGTTCCTGGGTGGGACCATGATCATTATCATCGGAGGGATAATAGTGGCCTCGGTTCTAGTTTTTATTATCATCCTGATGATACGGTATAAGGTGGGTCTGTCTCTGTTGCTCTTGTCCAGTCTAGCCATAAGGCAGCAGGAATGAGGCAAGAGAACTTTTCATTTAGCTGAATGATTGTCGTTATGGTGATCATGTAACAAGAAAAAGTCACAAAGTGATCTAGTGATTTTTTTTTAAATCTTTTGGTCTTCTTTGTATCTTTCTAATCAAAACTGTAAATTAGAGCTTAAATAAAAGCATTAAAATGATTTGTCTACATAAACTGATATTTTGAAGCATTTTAAAGTATCCTTAACTGATGCAAAAGCTACATCTGTTATAGTCATAGTGGTATTAGGTCTCCTGTAAATTTTTAAATATCATAGCATATTTTGTTTTATTTACAACAGCAACTTAGTCCTGATATAGGGACCAACAGGTTGGACTCAATGTGAATTTTAAAAGGGAAGAACCAGGTGAAGACATAAAGGACTAAACGTTACTTGAAAGGGTTCAAAGGGAGACACTTAAGATGAGAAAAATCGGATCTAATTTTCCCTTTTCCCTATGCTTTTTCCTCAGGTGTGCAACCCTAGTGAGGGTGGCAAAGGCATTTCAATGTCAATGACCAACGTTCACTCACAGACCAATGGGCAGCAATCTCAGGGTTGCACCGTGACTCCAAGCTCCTCTAAACACGGCTCAATCGGATTAGACGACCTCCCAGGAGGCACAAAGAGGAGTGGTGCTGCAGCAGCGGGAGGTGGGAGAAAGGATACAATAGCTCAGGCCTCTGAGTCTTCCCTGCCTGACTGCTCCACAGCCACATCAGTTCTCAGCCAGGCTTGGTCGGCCAGAAGCCCAACAGCTGGAGCCGAGGAACGAGAGAAAACAGTTGAAGAGAGAGCTCAAGCCGGCATTGCATCACCCACCGCCACCACAGGCTCCCTACACAAGCCAAAGCGAAAGCCCGCCCCAACTAAGCCTGGCTCTGCTTGCTCCAGTGGCCAGGGGATGATCGAGAACCTCCCAACTGCCTCCTCGACACGACCACCTTCCTCCACTTCCACCGCCTCCTCCGCCCTCCTTCATTCCTCATCCCCCGGTGCCCTGGAGAACCTCAACACCAACCGAAATAACTCCACCGCTCTCTCTCAGACCCCACCACCTCCCTTTGCCTCTTCCCCTTTCTTCAGCCCCATCGCCACACCGAGCCCAGTCCCATCTGTGCGATTCAGAGAGACGCCCATCCTGCGCCGGGCTCCTCGCACCGCCGCCTCTTCTGCCAGATATCAGACTCTTCCTGTGGAGGAGGGAGGAAGGAGCAGAGCTAGGAGGAGGTACTCACTCAGTGAAGGAGGCTCAAAAACTCACTCTGCCCACCAGGGAGGAGGAGGAGGAGGAGCACCCAAAATAGGGCGCGTAATACGGAACAAAAGGAGCCAATCAATGAGCGGTATGCTACTCCCAAAAGATGGGGATGAAGAGTCGGACAAAGGGCGGTGTGAATCTGACTGGATCTTAGAAAGCACAGTTTGAACTGGAATGAGCCAGCGACCATAAAATGAACTTTGGTTTATTCATTGTTTGTCCTTTGTGTGAGTGGATGCGTGCAGTGTGAATCAAAGTTTTGTTTATAGGCGTATGTGTGAAAAGCCTGCTTGTGTCACGAAAAACTTTGCGCGTTGTTACTGTGTGTTTTCCTGTTTGAATTTTCTTTCTAAACGTGTGAGAGGTTGACTGTGTTTCTGGTAAACGTGTGTGTGTGTGTGTGTGTGTGCGCGCTTTTTTTAAAATAATCAGTCTTTTCATAACTTTTCTCCACAGTTATTTGTACTTGATTTACAGTTTACAGTTTTGTTTTTTGCTTTTGTTTCCACTTCAACAGTATCCATTTTGCAGTCAATCATTCAGCGAGTAGATAACTTGCCTTGTCTCGTAGCGTCCTCGAGTTGTCTCGTTGGTTCCACTTTATAGCACAAAAGAAAAACAAGACAATGGACTCGCCACGTCATTTCCCGATTCACTATCACCTTATCTGAAAAATACCACAAAAAGGGAATTAATACAGGAAATAAGAGGAATAAAAAAACGGGAAAAGCACACCATTCTTAATGTTCACACGCTCACAGAGATGTGCATCCATAATGTGGCAAGAGAATAGCAGTCGGTGCCTTCTTTTGCACTAACAGACCCTCACTAACAGATACTTTAACCGGATTTAGGACTCCACCATGGCTCCACGAATGAGGGGACGGATTAAGGAAGAGAGATTTCACACATAGCCTTTCTTACCTACTGCGGAGTACAGACCTTTTCTGGACATATAAAGACAAAATGTTACAGACAGATGAAGACTTTAATGAACCTCTTATGAAATTGATATTTTTTAAAGCGAAGTATTAAAAAAAAAAAAAGCAAAGAAAAAAGCAACGTGAGAACCTTGTGAGCTTTTCACTGACACTGGTATAATACAGCCTGTGTTGGTCACAAGCTCACGGAAAGCTTCTGTACAGAAAAAGACAACATGTACTGTTGTTATGTTGTGTAAAATAAAAAAGGGATAAAATGAAAATGGGAATGTTATGGGTGTGCTTTACAGCGAATATACAGCATGTCAAAAAATATACTGTGCTGGCATATTGCTCCAGTTTTTCATATCATTATTATATATTATATTATCTTTTCAATTGGAAAATTGTTTGAATGATGCGGCTTTTCATTCATATTTTGATAATTCGATGTATCGATGTTTACCTTAAAACCTCAGGCATAGTTACACACACACACACAGAGACGTAGTCTGGAGGTTTATTCACAGCACAGAATCTGATTTCCATACCTCCCACCTCTCACTGACTGCATTTATTAGAGGGAAGCAATTTAGGAAAAAGTGCTCCCTGTGAGGCTTTGACAGTTTGCCAATGTGCCAATGAGTAAGGCTCACGTGACCTGTTTTTAAGTGCTTACAAAACAATCATAGCGCTCACATGAAAAACAGACAGGGAAGCCTGTTGTGTAGCACGTGAGAAATAAGAGAGGGAGCAATAATTCAGCTCCATACAGTGCTTTATGATTCTCATATAGAGCACTCTTCTAAAGTAACAGGCACTTCTTATAACAGAAGAGCTTCTATCCTCCCCACTCAAAGGAAACCTTCTGTTGTATCTCTGTCTGTGGTGAGTTTTTAAAAGGTCTTATGTGTGGACCAGAATGATATTCAACAAAATCTACATCCAAAATCTGAATGTGGTAACAAGGACACACAGAAGCACAGCACAGTTGCCAAAGAAAATGATTTTTTGCTGACTTGCAGGCAAGAACCATAAAAATCTTCACTTGTGTACAGAAGACAGGAGGGTTAATATTACGTGGATTCAGAAGGTTGCAGTGAAGGCTACAGTTCAGTTCTATTCTATTCTGTTCTATTTTAGGCCTAATACAGCATAACTAAGGGAGGGTTCAAGGTCACCTAATATATCCCTAACTATAACCTTAATCAAAAGGGAATGTTTTAGACCTAATCTTATAAATAGTGAGGGTGTCTGTCTCCCAAATCCAAACTGGTTCCATAGAAGAGGACTTGGAAGCTGAAGGTTCTGCCTCCCATTCTACTTTTAAATACCCTAGGAACCATGAGTAAGCCAGCTGTCTGAGAGCAAAGCTCTGTTGGAGTTATACGGTACTATAAGGTCTTTAGGATAAGACTGCGTCCGATTATTCAAGAACTAAGTGAGGAGCAGGATTTTAAATAAATTTAACAGGCAGCTGATGAAGAGAAGCCGATGTGGGAGAAATATCCTTTCTTTCTATTCACTGTCAGTAGTGTTGCTGCAGCATCCTGAATCAACTGAGGCCTTTTTATGCAGCTTTTCGAGCAAATTGAGAATAATGAATTACAATAGTCCAGCCTAGGTGTAATAAAAGCATTATTACTGAATTATCATATACTGGGTATATTTCTGAACTAAAACTGGTGGACTTTGCAGGACTCTGTGTTACAACAAAACGTTTAAACCCAGATTATTTCCTCAAAAGAGACAGTAGAGTTGAAGGGCTGATGATTCCAGGTGAATGGGGTTGTGATGACATATGTCGCTGATGCTAGAGAAGCCGGTGAACAGTGGCAGTCATGCTTGCTATATTTGCAAGCATGAGGTTGATTTGGTGGTGAGTAGAATTAACAGATGCCTGTCTTGCTGGCACACAAAGGAAATCTAGGGCACAAGAAGAACTTGATTACAAAACTGGAGATCAAAACGAGAGCAAGAAAATTAGAGAGGAGCCTGGGTGTTGTTTCCCACTACAGCTGACAAACCAGACATCAAACATCAACGTCTTTTTCATACTGACCCAAATTTAAGAATCATCACTGCTGATGAGAGGTTGGACTACAGCTACAACCAGACAATTTTCAGTTGAACAGTCCACAGCTGTGGAACCATAAGGCAGCGCTTCAAATGAGACCAGTGCACAGTAGTTATTTTTTCCCCAACATTTACTGGGTTGTGTATTTTAACATCAAACATTTTGACATCCTGCTTGGAGGGCTAACTCCCATAGCACAACAAAGGGCTCCCACTGGGAGGAGGCCTTGGGTAGACCCATGCAGGACACACTGGAGAGATTATATCTCTTGGCAGTCCTGGTGTTACCTCGACACTAAAAGCTGATTTTTCTCAAACATTCTGTTGTGCAATTTTGTGCTAGTAGATTTGTCGATTTTAGAAATATTTCAAACGGACAAAAACCTCCATAATGTAGCCTGTAAACTCCACAATCAGAATGTGCCATATACTCGCGCAAAATAGGAACACAAAGAATTTCCAAATAGAATTTCCACATCAACAAACACAAAGAGTAACAAGGCTGTGGGCCACACTCAGTATGGGGGAAGTCGATATTAGTTAACATCAATGCAGGAAATTGATTCACTTTTAAATTAAATTACCAAAAAATTGTTTGACATGAAACTGTTCTGACAGCCAATTTCCAATTGATGTTCTCACTTCAATTAACAGACACTGTTGTTTTAATTAAGTAAATTGAATTGACAGAACTAATGGTGAGTCATTGCTGACCTTTACAAGCAATTTGAGTGTTTATTGTGGTTCTTCTTCCCGCTCTGGGTGGCATTTAGGTTAATATATTAATATTAATATCAATGAAAATTATGTGTTTTATTCTGATAACACAATTTAATTAGAGTGGGAGTCTTCAAAACCAAAACCCTCCCCCCCATCACCATATCACTCCCTGGTGTTAAATTACAGCAGCTGATGCGGCAAGCAGACATGGAGTAAATGTTTAAACAGGAACTCGAGCCACTGGAGAGTTACAGGAGAAGATGAGAGGGGAAACAAAACCCCTTCCTACAACTCTCCTTGATTAATTTGTGTAAAAAGTCCACAGTAACTGGTGGACAGCTGTCCTGTTCATTCACAAATGGGAATATGACACGAAGCTCACTCATTCGTAGGTTTACCGCCAGCAAAGAATGCCAACCCAGTTCTAGGGTTTCTCACAAACACTTTCAGCAAACATGAGAAACACATTAACAGAGCTTCTTTATTACAAGCCCAACTCTGCACAAGCTTTCTTAACAGTCCTCTTTTCCTTGCTAGCTACGTGCACCACCTCTGGAGGCCCGGCAGAGGAGGCAGTACTGAAATATGGAGAGGGACTGATTAGAATCTGCAGAACAGGTGTGTCACTCACCTCACCTGAGCTGTCCCATCGAGCCCAACCTCTCCCATCGGCAGCCAATCGAAGAGCTCACCCCACCAACACAGGGAACACATTCATAAGCTTCCTCACTTTAAAAGCATATCTCCTGGTTCACACCTCCTCAATTGACCTTCAAATGCCTGCCTTAAGCTGTGAATGCTTAATGGTAAGAGGCTTTGGAGGAGAATATCCCTCTCTGTATCCTTCTTCCTCAATTTCTTTCCCTTTAAGCCCAGCTCTCTTTCCCTTTCCACCCTCCCACTGTGGTTCTTTCATTTCTGATTTTATATTTTGGGGATTTAAGAGCAGATTTTATACAGTGAATGATCGGGTTTTTTTAACAGAGAAGAAGATTAAAGTAATAATCTGAGGAATTTGCAGTATATTTCTGTTAATATTCTGAGTAAGATGCTAAATGAATAAATAACTGTGGTGAAGAGTGATCCATAGCTGGTGAACAGGATATGGAAGAGCAGTCTAATGGAGACCATCTGATCAAGCACCAGCTGAAGTGTGAGTCATCTGGAGGAATAAGGGGTTGGCTAGAAGTGTGCCTTGGAGACATAACAGTGAAACTGTGGAAAAAGGTGAGTTAATTAGAAAAATATGAACATCTGTTGGACACCATAGTACAAGATCCAGTTGCTTTCCTTCTAAAAGAAGGACAATATCCCAAATTCTTAGACTATGTATAAAGCCTGACATCTAATGGTGAAAAACAGGCCATGTTGCAAAGTAAAGGACCAGTCAGGGTGGTCTTGGCATCAAACACACGGGGTACAGGGGATTGTTGCATATACTTGAACAGAAGTCCCTCTGGAAACTGCAGCTAAAATGTTTCTTGTGGTGAAATCATTCATGCCTAACATATTGTGTTATTCAAGATAATGGAAGAAAAACTTGATGCGGGTAAAAAACAGTTGGCTTTTAACATGTGTTTATAGTCTCTATCTTTAATAATAATCTCATCCTACATATGACGAGCCAGCTTTGTGACAATGAGCCATTATTTTCTTTTTGGTTAGATTTTTTTTATTTTGGAGTTTGTGCCACGATCTTTGGCACACGATTGCTATTCATCTTTTGCTCCTTCCACACATCCAGTTTGACAGTGTACAGTTTCTTGAGTTTTTAGGCAAGCAAATTAATGAATACTTTGAGCACAATTCAGATCAAACATCGGCAAGTGTGAGTTGGGAAGCCTTCAAGGCATACTTAAGAGGGCAAATCATAAGCTATTCTAGTAAGAAAACAAGAGAAAGAAACCAAAGGATAAAATATCTGGAAGAAAAAATTAAAATGTTAGGAGAGACAAGCTTTCAATCAGGCCAAAATAATGAGGACAATGTAAAAGAATTATTACTATTGAGAACGCAATATAACGAAATGACAAGCGAAAAAGCAGCTGTAAATTTATTGAGATTAAAGCAACAATTCTATGTCCAAAATGAAAAACCCAGCAAATTCTTGGTTTGGCGTATAAAACAGCAGGAATCTGAAAAGGCAATTACAAAACTTGAAACTTTAAATGGAAATATCATAGTAGACCCATTAGAGATAAACAATGCATTTAAAGTGTTTTATGAAACATTATATAATTCTGAATTCAACAATGCAACTCGAATACAATCTTTATTTCTAGATAAAACTGGTATACCAAAAATTTCAGACGAGGACAAAGAAAATGTTGACAGGCAAATTAGTATGCATGAAATTATTGATGCTATAAACTCTCTAAATGCTGGTAAAACAGCTGGCCCAGACGGATTTCCAATCGACCTTTATAAATACTTTAAAGATAAATTAGCACAGCCCCTCTTAGATATGTATATA